TAGTGACTACAAGTGCCTTTGGCTATCCCAGTGCCACTCCACACTGGTCATTAGCTGAGCAAACTACTCGTAGCAGTGTTACGCTATAACCCTTTAGACAGCCCTAATTTGAAGGGAGCGAAGCTTTGCCTGTGCATGTTACAGATACCTACTGCTGCTTGCCTGTAACTCTATGCTGTAATGATATACTATAATGGTATATATAATTTTCATAAGAAGACACTAATAGCACTGGAGGTGTACTGAGAAGCTGAGTCTAGACACATACAGTACACCCAAACCTTATTTAATACAGGCAATCCAAGCTCTCAGCTGAATGCAAGATCATTAACTGCCTCTCAGGATCCTCAGAACTCAATACTGGTAGCATTTTGTAGACATTAATGTATTTAAGTGTCACAAAACCCCTGTGAATTTGCTTTTTAAAAATGGAGGGCTGCAAGAAGGCAGACAAGAAGCTGCAACTCTCACAGGCCTACTGATTGCGCTGGTAAACTTGTGACAGCAAGGCCTAGACTTGCAGAAAGGCGATTCCAAAAGACAGATGGAGCCAAACTCTCCTTGGGGAAACTCAGCTTTCCACCCTTATCAACTAGTTCTTACTGAGATTGCTTTTGCTGTGCACTGAAAGACCTGTAGCCCTTGTGAAAATGGCAGGTGGACAGAGAAGTGTCAGACCATAAGTCTCTGCTCAGCCCCAAACAGATCCAGCACGCTCTTGTTATATGGTGTTCATTCCCCAGAGATGAGGAGGACATGGCCTCTAATGATGTTGATACCAATACTGACTTTCTAACATATTGAATCCTTCCCCCCTTTGTTCATTTAAATGTCTCCGCAGATTACCTGCGTGTTGTGGATATTTATATGTTCAAGGAGCCCCAGGAGATCAACAAACAGCAGCACCACACTGACAAGTACTACAACCCCAAGCTGATAGTGCGTCGGGGACAGCCTTTCCAAATCCAGATTGACTTCAACCGACCTTACAGGCCAGAGACAGACCAGTTCTGGCTGGAGCTTTTAATGGGTAAGTGCCTGGCAAAGGCTGTGTCTTATCAGCAAAGGAAGGTTGGAGAGTCTGTCATAAACAGGAACACAGCAGTACTTAGTGGCTGGGTCTTTTCCTGTTATGATTGATAAACCATAAAAACGGGCTTAACCATAGGCAAGGAAGTGTTTTTCCAAACAGGGTTTGAATCCTTTCTTGCAAAAGTCAGCAGAATTTCATGTAAGAGAAGAAGAAGTCGTATTTGGGAGTTTCTATTTAGTAAGAAGCTGTACTTTATTGATCTTTCAAAGTTGTATCTGGTTAATGACGTATAGTGATACTGAAAGGTAAGTGAAACAGGACACATCTCTTATTAGGATTTAGGAGATGCAGGAAGGAGTATTCTGATGTCTGAGGTGGGAAAGGTATGAACTGTGATAGCAAAATACTGATTACAAAAAGAAGGGAAATTATATAGCGTGAAAGAATCTTGCAGCTTTGCAGCCTGCATTTACAACCAACTTGGTAACAAGAGAGAAAGAAGGTTCAGAGACTTCAGCTTTGGACCAGAATCATAGAATCATTGAATCATTAAGACTGTAAAAGACCTCTAAGATCATACAGTCCGATCGTTAACCCAGCACCACCAAGTTCACCATTAAAGTATGTCCCCAAGTTCCACATCCACATGTGTGTTGGATTCTTCTAGGGGTGGTGATTCCACCACTTTCCTGGGCAACCTATTCCAACGCCTGACAACCCTTTCAGTGAAGATATTTTCCTTAATATCCAATCTAAACCTCCCCTGGTACAACGTGAGACCATTTCTTCTTGTCCTATTTCTTGTTACCTGGGAGAAGAGACTAACCACCACCCCAGCTTTTGGGTAGCTGTAGAGAGTGATAAGCTCAGCTCCCTGATGAGCCTCCTTTTCTCCAGGCTAAACACCACCAGCTCACTCAGCCACTCCTCATCAGACTTGTGCTCCAGCCCCTTCACAAGCTCTGTTGCTCCTCTCTGGACACACCCCAGCAACTCAGTGTCTTTGTTGTAGTGAGGGGCCCAAAACTGAACATAGGATTTGAGGTGCATCCTCACCAGTGGTGAGAGACTTATTCAGGACGATATCAGAAACTTTCTTCATTTGTTGCAGAAAGAGCAAGAAAGGTTTTTCTTGTCGCTGAGAGGTTTTCATCAGATACCCACATCCTAATACACTTGCTGACTAATTAAAGTTACAGGGCTAGAGGAGGGCATGACCTCACTAGAGAAGGCGAAAAACAAGCGATAGAGTGGGGCTTCCTGCTATGCTCCAAAGATGGCCCCACCAAATGCTTGTCCCTACAACACAACTCTGGGAAACACCCAGCTTCATCTAGAGTGAACTGGTAGTTTCTGTGTTAAGATATCAATGTTTTCCTTATAAACTCTTTAAAGTAGGTTATAATTGATGTTTTAATTTACTTTCCTGTGAGAAGCAGCTCTGAAATTTGTAACGTTGATTCTTTTCCTTCATTGAATTATGATGATTTGGCCATTTATTAGATTTGTTGCTTTTTAAAGCTAGATGGGCATTTATCTCTTAAACATATGTGCAGTGAAAATGTTACTGTCTGCACATTTTTTTTCATGGGTCTCTTCTTTCTAATTTAAATTAGGGTTGGGAGGCATGTTATGACAGTCCAGTGAATGATTGGCTGAACAGCCACAAGTGCCTTTAAAAATTTAATATGCATAAATATCATTAGTTCTTTTGGGATTTAATTAAATTCAAGACTGTTCCCTTACTCTTTATATGTTTAAAACAAACAGCTGTATCAAGAAAAAGTGGAAAATGGAACATTTGTTTTTTATTGCACTTCATGCAGTTTGCATTTGTTTTAATCAGATATTCTATATTGGAAGAAGAAAATTAACACTTCTTTTGACACTGCACAGTCCACTTAAGAGAACACATTCATTTATTTTTTCTGCTGCTCTTTCATAATACATTCATCCACTGTTTGTACCTTGAATCTCTAAGCATGGATAAAAGTCCCCACATCCAAGACACAGTAGGAGAAGGGTTAAATGCAGCCTGAGCCAGGGGAGACTCTGCAACAAACTCAGCTCTGAATGATTCTTTTTGGTCAGCCCTGAGTCTGTGGTGGGATTCCCCTCCCTGCTCTTCACTGTTACTGTCCTTCCTGTGAAATGGGACCAGTGTCCATGTGTGATAGCTGACAATTGGCCGGAGGAAAGGGCTGCATGTACAGGATAGTGTACAGTGCTACTTCCCTCCCCTGCTTTTTAAGTGTTCACTTCTGTGAGCACCACTGCCCTCTTGCTACAAGGACTTTAGCTCACAAAGATTGAACTGGGAGATGTTCAGGCTCCTCTTCTAGGAACTGGTCAACACTCAGTGCTCCACAAATGTTTCTCTGTGAACACGTGGTGAACACGCAGTACATTTGTTCTCAGAGGCTAGCAACAGAAAGCAAAACAGAAACAGTCTACAATTGGGAAGGAAAATCTAGATATTACGTACTTGACTCTTGCTACTTCTCTTTTTAGTGGCAAGTCCAATGTTTCATGCTGAGAAGGAGATTTGTCATACTCAGCAAAGAGCACTGAGTGCTGAAGGTCTTAGTGCTGTGCTCTCAAACCTTTTGTCATGGGAACATCCATTTTTTTTTCTGTTTGTCTTACTAAAGAGTAAGCCTTCACCTCTCCTACTGCCAGCAGCCTAAACACCAGAGCCCAGTCTAAAAGCTTTTGCCCAGGATGTTTGTGAGCAGGGAAGAGAGGCAGGCACCTCCAAGTGGAATTCAATCCTGCTGTCTTAAAATGGGATGAACTCTCTTCTGGATTTTTTTTGCTTCCTCTATTGACTCTCTCCCATAGACTAGGCTCTGACTTTAAGAACACTAAAGGCAGGGGAGGTGAATCCTGCCATTTAGTAGTGTTGGGCAGAATCTACCCCTAGGGAGCGGCTCAGGCAACAGCTGTACAGCAGAGGCAGCTTGAGCTCAGAGAAGGTTTTTGTGCTGAAAGGAATATACCTCCTAGGAGAGTGCTGAGTTTAAGAGATTAAAGTGACGGACACACAGAAATATTGCCAGGTTGTTGTAAAATGACCTTTCCAAGGAGCTCTCTGTATGTCTGAGCAGTAGATTTCAAATGGTGCAGCAGAACTGTAGAACAGAATAACCTACATTGGAGTGGCCTCTACAGGTCTCATCTCTAGACCTTGCTCAAAGCAGGTCAGGCTTGATGCAGTGTTTTTGGGCCTTGCCCTAGGGTCAGGTTTTCAGCATCTCCAAGGATGAGGATGTTACCCTAGAAAATGTGGACGAGGCTGTCCAGAACTGCAGAATATTATGAGTGATTCAAGATTCTATTCTCATAAGGTACAAAGGTACTCTGTTGGGGTGGCTGACCTTGGTTCCCAGGGAATTCAGTTGGACCTGGGAAAATCCAAAGTCCGTATTTGCAGGGCTTTTCCTACAGTGGGGTCTGTTTATACAACAGTGTTGTATAAACCTATTCAGAAATGATTAGTTCCCAGCCTTGGGAAATTTCCTAACATTGACATTAATCCATCACAGAATTTTTATCCATTAAATACTAATTTTGCTCCTGAAAAATGTGACAGTGGTAATGAATTGATCCTTTGTGTGTGGGCAGAACTATTCTATTTCCATTATATCCTAAAATTTACTTTTCCCTCGCTTTTTTTTGCTCCTATTTTTGCTTCTTTTGCATCATTAAGAAGATGATTAATGAAGCAAGCAAAGCAAGCAGAGACTGCTTAATTCTTCTAATTGATAATGAATCGAGGGTACCTGGGACAAATGCTTCTTGAATCATGTGAAACTAGGTCTGAAACACTCACAGAACAAACAAACTTTAATAACAATCATTTTTAATCCACAGTCCATTTAAACACCATTCACACAGAGGTTAGAATTCATGGGTTAAATTGTATAAGCAAATATATATATGTATGTAAATATATGAATAACTCACCCTAATCTCTTGAAAGTCACTTTTACAGATATTCTTCTGTGATGGTTCCTTATGACTAAAGTTGTTCTTGCTTTAACAGACTGTTTTGTGTAGAGTCATCATTGGTGCAATTGACTGAAATGCTAACATGTGAATTATTATAATTCAGTTTTGCACATAATCCTTCATTAAATTAGGACCATACTTGCCTGCCAAAGTATGGAAAACAATAAATGTGCCAAAAAATCCACATGGAAAAATATCCACTTATAAAGAGTAATTGGATGTTGTTCCAGTTCTTGCGCTGGACCACAGCCCTGCTGCAGTACCTATGGTTTTAGAGCTGCTCCATCACCACGTATTTCCTTCCTTGCAGCCCACTTCCTGGCTTTTACAAGAGGAAAGGTGAACATCACCACTTGGGTGATACTCATTTTATTGGTCTGGGGTTGAGAGGAAAGAGCCACAAGAGAAGTGTAGTTGCTGTGCTTACATCTAGTTCCCCCCAGTGGGAACAATTTCAGTTTACTTGGAACCCCAGTGAGCCCTGAGGAACCAATGGACCCCTTCACCGACTTTGGTCTCTTCTGACTACTGCCTTCACAGTGACGGGAACACTTTGTGCTCCTCTTAGCTTTCCCTAGTGCAGGCTTAGCCTGGCTGAGTGTGACTCTTGCACCTGGGGCAGTTTGTCATGAGTGCTGCAGAGTTTCCACCAGCACTGCTGCACTGACAGGGATTTCTCTGAAAAGCAGATGTATTATTACATGGGCTTATACAGTCTTCGCTCTTGCTTTTAGTAGCAGTTTCCAGTACGTAGCTGTAAATCTTTGAGGGGCTGATGAGTTTATAGAGTGCATCCTGACTGTAATGATATATTTCCCCACATCCTCATAAATTGTTGTCTATTTGGGTTTCCCTTAAATGGCTTCATAAATCTGTATATATTGTTCTAGCCCTTAATATTATTATGGACATTTTATTCATTGACATACTTCTGGAACTATCATAAATTCCAGTCCCCCAGACTACTATCACCTTTCTACATGTGT